CTGGGTTGCACCTCAATGAACCTAAGTGGTGCACTGTGAGCGACCATCATCCAGCCACTGGATTTCCATCGCACCCGGCTTTCATCCAGAACATATGAATCTGCTTAGACAGACCCTTTTAAGGAACTGAACAGATAGGTCGGAGAAAATGGCACAACGCGTGGTTTTCTTTCTACTGTGGCTCTTTGACAGATCATTCGCAGGATTTCCCAATCAGATTAATATCGGTAAGTGTTCTGCTGCGTTAAAAGGCTGCAGAGTGTGTTTTGTTTGAAAAATTCAAATGCAAGATTACAATTATATATCAGGGTGATGTGTACTGAGCGCGGAGCTCTGCGCAACGATAGAGCAAAACTTGATTTTAAATATGCTACAAGCTTAAAGCTGCTGACTGTTGAAAACTAGATTAAAGCTATAGCTAGTGCTGACTGTGTCATAATCATTATCCGAAAATAATTGAGGTGCATAATTAGGAAGACTGGAGGTGGTGAGCTTGATTTGAAGAGTTACAGACAGGCGCACTGGTCAGAATGCATGGTAGTTATTCTTTAAAATAAAGATGAGCCTCCTTTATATCACTGTGGAACATGCTGAGTTTTTCCTCGCCTTGATTAAAAACTGACACCGGTCCAGATGCAAGTTTAATATAGCGCTGTCTTATCTTGGTTTTCCTCTCTTTAAGGGGGGCTGTTCATGCGTTCCACGGTGCAGGAGCACAGCGCGTTCAGATTCGCTGTCCAACTCTACAACACCAACCAAAACACTACTGAAAAGCCTTTCCACCTCAACTACAACGTAGACAACCTGGAGTCGTCCAACAGCTTTTCAGTCACCCATGCGTGTAAGTGTACTTCTATTTCAGTCAATGTCCAGATTCTCACCACTTAGAGTACGTCCATGCACAATGAGCAGAATTATTTATGTCAAACTCATGGCGCTTATGGGAAGCCAGGAGAAGCAGTTCATCTCACTCCACTCTGGCAAATAAGGTCTCAGTGGAAATAAAAGTGACAGTGAAACACATCATAGTGTCCTTGGGTTTTACCAAAAAATGTATAAACCTTTTTTTTTTTTACTAGTTTTATTTATGACAGATAGTAACATTTTGACAAAAGAAGCTATGGCTGTACTACACTACAGCCGGTTACACTACACAAGGACTCAGTGCTGGAGGGATTCACTGGATGGACGCGAAGGATTTTAAGCCTGTTTTATAAATAGCTTTAATTTTTGTCACATAAATGATTCACAATATAAGCAGAAAGGTTATAACTTAATATGATATGGTATCTTGATTTTGCACGCTCGCTTTGTTATGGGTCCTACTGTGTGGTTATGGTGATCCCTTGGTGCAGCTGGTGCACACAGCCACTGATTTGTGACTGAGCCAACAAATACATGCATCTCCTTTGGCTGCAGTTTCCTGAAATTAGCAGTAACGCAGTGGACAAAAGGGGGAGAAATAGAGTAGAGAATGAAATAATGGGTTCAATTTGGCTGAACGGTCGATGGAGACACATAGCTGTGGTTCAGTCCATCTAAGCCCTATGTGGTACAGTCATAACGGCCCCTCTGACTCTTCATGTGCCCGAGTGTCTACGCCTGGTCTGTCCCCTGACTCCCCTGTGTTACAGAGTATCTCCCCCAGCATTGCAGAGTCAGCTCATTAGCACCCAGCCCTCATACCATCTCACCATGCTGTCACTGGGCGAAATGGGGGAAAAAATTCGTAGCTCCCCAGCAAACAGCAGCAAATGAGTTGGGCTCAGACCTGCAGAGGAGGTGGGTCTGAGCAGTGAGGGAGATGAAACAGAGTGTCATATCACAAGCACCAGAATTAGGTGCCCTAACGAAGGCATTTATAAGAAACAATAAGCAAACGAGAGTGAATAAATAATGGATAGTGCTGTGCATTTTCATACATGTTGATGAGGAAGGAAAGCATACAAGAAACAAAAAAGGTTGATATCAGAATCTAATTAAATTCAGGGCCAGAGAATTAGGTGAGACGAGCAGGTTCCTGTGGGAGTCCTGGCCCTGTTTCTTGTTTCTTGCTGCCACATCTTAGCATCTCCATCAAGAGCACCATCCCATGACTGCCTTTAATTTCAGATTTTAAAAAACGTAAACCTTTAAAAAATGCATCATTGTAGTGATGCCAAAAACTGGAGAGAAATTGTCAAGTGCTGTTATAATTTTTGGTGAGGAAAATGAAGAGGATGAGGTGAGGAAAGAAGTGTTATACTTAGTAATCATTAAAAGTAGAGCAGAAACTTTTAAAACAGTCAGAGAATTGATTTGTTTAATGTATGATCAGAGACTTTTTTCAAGGTAGTGTCCTGAGACTCTAGTCAGGTTGAGCTCACTTACTACAAACAGCCCATGCTGAGCTCACAGCTGTTCACAAGCACCAGAGGTTGTCTCTAAAGACACAGTGAACAAAATCGGGATGATGGTTATGAAATATCACTTATCTGCTGACTCCCAGGCCTTTGAGGCTTTGCCTCCAGTGACTGAAGACTTCCTGTGTTTTGAGTTTTACATTTGTCAGCACGGTTGTTCTGCAAGCTGTCACAATTATTTAGTGGACACTGAAATTTCCTTTGTCATCAATAGCCTCGTGCGGTCGACTCAGACCTGAATCAGCAATAGCACGCATATACTTTATGATGGGACAATCTGAAACAAAGTCTTACAACAGTGGCATTTATGCAGGTTGGGGGAGTAAATGTATTTTGAGGCAAGCTTCATGCTTTGATCAAGATGAGATCTGGCTGCCTTAGACCTTCCAGAGTTATTGAATTTTGCTTTAGTGTGTATCATCCCTTTAGTCTGTTGGTGGTGGTGGAGGTGGTGGCAAAGCTCTCTCATCTGACTCATTGTTTAGACCCCCCCACCCCACCCCCCAATCAGGAGAATATTTAAAAATGATATAATATAGAGATAGAGGAGCAATAATTGAATTTACTAGAATGTATTGCATTTTTGGGAACAAAATTTATGAAGCCTTAGGTATCACAAAGGCACCTTCTTGTGTTAGAACAGTTTCTTTGAAGTCAGTTTAAAGACTTTTGTTCTTAAGTGAATTAATGACCAGCAGCAAAACAATGTGTGGCTTCAGTGATTCTTAAGGTATGTCTTTGTATTGCAGGGGCAGGGTTTGTGCTTTGGTGGCAACATTGTGGCTTCTTTGAAGTGACATCAGAAATTGCAAAATGTGTAATTACTAGTGCAGGGTCCATAATAGCTGTGGAAGCTAAGAGTCTATAGGTACGCTTACTGAGGAGACAGGAGTAGTTCAAAGCAAAAGGCACCGGCAGAGCAGACAGTATTAATGTTCCTGATGGTCACGGCTGGCCAACTTAATGACACTGCCATTCTTTTCTCTTCTGTTTACCCTTCTTCTTTTTCCTTCTTTTACCTGAGGCGAAAGAAAACATCAGCCCCCACTTCTTGCCTTGCTATTTATTAGATTACTCACCTTGATTCTTGTTAAAAGGAAATTTTGCAATATTTGGCTTTTGAATCTCATCTTCCTTCATTCCTCATTCTGTCATTAAGCTAATGGTCTGTGTCCCCTTTGCCAGCCTTTTTACATGTGCCTACCCATCTTTTATTGAATCCTCCAGGTCCTTAAACCCTGGCAGTAGCAGATGATGCTTTGGCTGCACCATTCAGCCAGCTTCTTCCATCACTCTTGGCTACTGCAGATAAAACTGCCTTGCTCCAAAAATGTGGAAATGAGCTCAGGATAAAACAAGACTCACTGTGGTTGGATTTGTCTGTTCAAAAGTCAAGAAAAAGGAGAGGGACAAAAGGGAAAGCAGGCTGTGTCTGTGTCTTCGTGTCAATGGAGAACACATGAAGTTAAAGGAATAATTTGAAATTTTGCAAAAAAAAAAAGCTTATTAGCTCCATTGTCAAAAGTTAGATGAGAAGACTACTGTCACATCTGAATGATAGCTATGATGCTGCTGCCAGCATCCAGTTAGCTTAGCCTAGCACAACAACTGAAAACAAAAGGAAGCTTGCCTGGCTAAGATAAGCTAGGCTCTAGCTACATACTGTATGTATTATACAGACATAGCAGTGGCATCAGTCTTGTACCTCTTCTTTAAACTCTTGGCAAGTGAATAGCAGTATGAAAATGCTGGATGCTGTTCCTTTAGCACCATAGTAGTAGTCCTGCGGTAATGCAGTGGAACGATGCTGTGCCACTTTTTACATATTTGCACACTGGATGATTCATAATGTTACATTTTTTGTGAGCGCTTGAAGATCCAATCATCAATAAAGTGTATGTCTTGTAAATGAACCAGTAAAAACAAATGGAATAAGTTCTGATAGGTCCTATTAGGCCCCAGCAGAGTACAGGATGGCCAGACTTTGGCACATGATGATCAGTCGTGAGCCCCACACACAACCAATGTGGTCACTGTTGCTGGTTGACATGTAAACCAGCATGAAGCAGTAGTTTACATTCAATACATTTTGGACTCAGTTAAACCCATTAAAGCAGAGAACATGTATTATCTTATAGCTTTATGAGGCATTTAATGCTTATGACAAATTCAAATTTTCAAATAGCTGCTACACACTGTTATTCTGCCACACCAGAGAATAGTCAGTCTAACATTTGATCGTGTGGGAAATTATGTAAACTTGCCACAATAAAAAACTGTTTACATTGGCCATTGAAATGGACCACAACTCAGCCGTGCCCCTGCATGGGCATGGGTCATAGGTGTGCTCTGGTACTTCAACAAATAGCACTACACCGCTGTTTAACACAGCTTCAAATGAAATAGCAGTTGACTTACATGATACTAGAAGTCCATACTGCAGGATTAGCATCAAATCTGAAGTAATATGCAGAAAAATGAATTATTGCCATGATTTATGTGCTGCAGTCTGACTGGATGCACACAATGCAGGATGATATATGGTGATAATATGTGAGAAATGTTGTGGGTGCAGTATCAGGATCAGAATGTGTATGGGGCAAATAAGACAGTAGCAAATGATTTGACAGTCAGGAGGAAATCTCCAGCAGATGCTTGTTTTTTTTAATTTTTTTCCAATAATGAGGGATATCTATATTATTGATCAGGATTATTGTAAACAGTCTACTTTTTGTCCAGACACAACACATATGAAGAGGTATCTTCCTGCCTTGACATTTACACCCACCCAGAGAGTTCTAGCTCCACACATGTTGCCCAGAAACACCAATGGTCTCTTTACACCATTGGCCTGCACTGTGACTGAGCACGTGTGGCAAATGGCATATGTTTGGAAGCACAAACAAAAGGTCCCTTACTAAATCTTTGCATGTACTGTTGTGTATAGCTTTTGGGGCTGTTGTTGGTGGTGGTGATGTGTGAATGGACAGTAAACAAAGTGGCAGTAAGACATGTTTTTTCAGTGCATAGCCTGATTGAGACTTGCTATAGCTGAGCGAGGCTCCTTGGGTGGTTGTAGTAGTGCCACACTCTATTGTCCTTGCAGGCTGTAACTCAGCTTGAAAGGTGTGACCAGGGAAACATGGCAGAGGAAGCTGGGAAAAAGAGTCGGAACTGAGTAGTGGGATGAAGGAGATGGAGACTGTAGTAAGAGAGAGCAAGTATTTTAAAAGTTGAATGAAGGATATTTTACAGGTTGCATACCTTACACAGTATGTGTATGAGTATGTGTATGTGTTTGAGTGAAACAGTCAGAAAGACAGTCATTTCTCCAGGCTACAGGGGTTGTAGAGGAAGATGCCATCACACTCCAGCTGTGTTTATGGACACACAGGCATGTACATATACATGCATGTGTTTGCACATACACACACACACA